CTTTTAGGGTTTAGGGTTTACCTTTTAGGGTTTAGGGTTTCGCAGTGCTCAGTTGCTGAGACGAGCAACAGGGGTTTCAGATGTCAAAGCAGCAGCAGCAGCAGCAGCAGCAGCAGCAGCAGGAGTGTGCAGCGCTGGCAGCAGCAACGGCGCCACCAGCAGCAGCAGCACCCAGGGTTGCAGGACCATCGAACACCCACACAGCAGCAGCAGCAGCAGCAGCAGCAACAGCAGCAGCAGCAGCAGCAGCAGCAGCAAGAGTTGCGCCGTGTGTTTGCGTTCAGGCCTCTGTTGGGTGGCGATATTTTGGCCGCGAGTAAAGCGGCTGCAGCAGGAGCCCCTCAGCAGCTGGCGGGTGTCGCTGACGGGAGCAGCAGCAGCAGCAGCAGCAGCAAAAACAGCAGCAGCAGCAGCAGCAACAGCAAAACCAGCGGAAGAAGTAGAACTCAAGTCCGCAGCAGCAGCGGGAAAAGTGCTGGACGTGGCCACGGCGAGCAGCATCAGCAGCAGCAGGAGCAGCAGCAGCAGCAGCAGCTGCTTCTCAGCAGCAGATAACAAAAAGCAAGAGTGACTAGCGGCGGCGCCGGGGGGTCAGCAACCCCCGGCGTCGCCCGAGGCCAAGCTAGATGTGCAGCTGCACAGCAGCTAGCTAGCTAGCTAGCTGCTAGCCTTCTTGGCTAGCTAGCCAGCCAGCTGGCTAGCTAGCTGCGTACCCAGCTAGCCAGCCAGCTAGCTGGCTAGCTAGCTAGGTAGTTAGGCAGCTGGCTAGTTTGCGAATGGATTGGATAGCTAAGCTGTGGCCGGCTGGCTGGCTAGCCAGCTAGATGGCCAGCTAGCTAGCTAGCTTGCTAGCTACCTAGCTAGCTAGCTGGCTAGCTAGCTAGCTGGCTAGCTAGCTAGCTAGCTAGTAGGATTGTTTTTGTCTCCCCAGGGCCTCCAGGCTGCTTGACTGCTGCCGGGGCCCCAGCACTTTTCTCTCAAGGCGAAACTACAGACAGCAGTTAGCTAGCTAGCTAGCTGGCTTGCCATAGGTAGATAGCTGGCTGGCTAGCTAGCTAGCTAGATGGCTAGCTAGCTGGCCAGCTTGCTGGCAAGCCAGCTACTGGTCAAAAACTGCTGCCGGGGCTGCTTTGCTGACAAGCGAACTAAATGGCTTTCAAGCTCGTTTTCCTTACGGGAATTGAACACAGGAGCTAGCTGGCTAGCTGGAAGAACAGCTAGCTAGCTAGCTGGCTAGCTAGCTATTGTACTTGTTGCCGCGGCAGAAGTATGGGCTGCTCACTGCGAAGGCAGCTAGCTAGTACATCAGGCGTTGGCTGCCTGGCTAGGTAGCTAGCTGCTACCCAGCCAGCTATCTGGCTAGCTAGCTAGCTGTTACCCAGCCGGCCATCTGGCTAGCTAGCTTGCAGGCTACCCAGCAGAGCTAGCTAGCTAGCTAGCAGAATGCCCGGCTAGCTAGCTAGCGGGCAAGCCCGCCAGCTAGCTAGCTATCTACCTAACTACCCAACTAGCTACCTATCTGTCTATCTATCTCCCCAGCTAGCTAGCTAGCTAGCTAGCTAGCTACCCAGACGGCTAGCGAGCTACTTAGCTAGCTAGCTGGGAATTTTCCATTTGCCTTTCTGCTGCTCATTTCCCTCAGGGGCTCTTGTCTTTTAGAGTAGCCGCCGTAAACCCTAAACCCTAATTTCTGTCAAACCCTGAGAATTATTCGCCCGCAAACCCTAAACCCTAGTCCGTTTCAAACCCTAAAACCCTGTTGGCGTTGCCGAGGGGCTGCGCTCAGAGGTTGTGGCTGAACTGCACGTCGAGGTGCGCTACTGATTCCCGCTGCTGCTGCTGCTGCTGCAGCTGCTGCTGCTGCTGCGCTGCTGCTGCTTCTAAAGCCTGCTGCTGGCAAGAGTTGAGGTAAGACCTGCGGCGCTCTCCGTAATCCTCATCTGTTGCCTCGCTGAAGTCTTCTTCTTCTCCCTCAGTGTCTTCGGGAGTGGCCCCTGAGAGCTGCCTCTCCACGTCTGCTGCTGCTGCTGCTGCTGCTGCTGCTGCTGCGGGTGCTGCAGCAGCAGCAGCAGCAGCGCGCGCTCGCAGCGTGTCCCAAGACCCGTCGTCTGCTGCGCTGCAGTGCACAGGACAGAGGCAGCTGGGGGCCCCCGACAGCAGCGGCAGCAAACGGGAAAGGGCCTCTTCTTCTGTTTCTTGTCCAAATTCATCCTCAGCAGCAGCAGCAGCAGCAGCAGCAGCAGCAGACGCTGCAGCAGCAGCAGCCACGGGAGAGCCTGGAGCAGCAACTACCACCCGCCGCGATCCACCGCCGTCCCCAGAGCGGGGAGACACAGCTGCAGCAGCAACAGCAGCAGCAGCAGCAAGCAGCACACAGTCAACTCGCAGCAGCAAAAACAGCAAAACCCCCACGTCGTTGCTGCTGCTGCTGCTGCTGCTGCTGCTGGAGAGAGCTTATCCGCTGCAGCTGCAGAACAGGCGCTATGAAGTATAGAATCTGAAGCTGCCAAACCCTAAACCCCAAACCCTAAACCCTAAACCCTTCTGACGGCCTTCTGTTTGCGAGTTGTCTGCCTTCAAGTCCACGCCTCGTGCTGCAGCAACACAAACCCTAAACCCGAAACCCTAAACCCTAAACCCTAAACCCTAAACCCTAAACCCTAAGCCAACGCAGTAAACCCAAAGCAGTTCGCCTTGGAGTCTCTATGGCTCTGTGCATTTGCCCCTGAATCCAAGGCCGTAAAGCGCAATCCCGAAACCCTAAACCCTAAACCCTTAACCCTAAACACTAAACCCTAAACCCTCTCACCTGTGCTGCTAACGAATTTGAGCTTCAGCTTCTTCATAATCCAAAGCAGCAGGACGAGGAGAATACAGAGAGCACCTGGCATGGCCAAAAGCAAGGGTTTAGGGTTTGCGAGGCTTCAGGGGCTGAGGCAGGTCCTAGGGTTTAGGGTTTAGGGTTTAGGGTTTAGGGTTTTGGCGCACCTGTGGTGAGTGTGAAAATCGCCAGAGGGAAATTCGCTCCGCCCATGGGGGTCAGCCCGGTGATGACAAAAGCCTTTTTCGCTCCCCACGCCTCCGCCGGCCATTCTGCACAAACCCTAAACCCTAAACCCTAAACCCTAAACCCTAAACCCTAAACCCTTGAGGGGCTCGAGAGCCACAAGACGGCCGGGCGGCCGCAGCTAATCCGCGCTGCGGCTCCCCGCCGCGGACCCCGCCCGCAGCAGCAGGGCCTAGGGTTTGGCGCCTACGGTTTAGGCCCTAGGGTTTAGGGTTTAGGGTTTAGGGTTTAGGGTTTACTGTTGCTGGTCAGCACCGCGTAGTACTGCTCGCCGGGAAGCAGAGGCTCCGACAGCACTGCGTAAAGCTTTTGAAAACTGGGGGTAAAAGGGGGGTGCAGCCAAACCCTAAATTTAGGGTTTGAAGGCAAGATCCAGGGTTCCAAACCCTCGCTTTCCCAGGTCCTATTGGACACCTGCAGCAAACCCTAAACCCTAAACCCTAAACCCTAAACCCTAAACCCTAACGGCAAGCTTGGGCCGGGCGCCGCGCGTTTCAGGGCCCCGCAGGCGGCTTGGTTGGCCTTGCATGCAGGCCTCAGCGGAGCCGCGAAACCCTAAACCCTAGGCTGCAAACCCGAAACCCTTTTTTAGGGTTTACCATGAACTGGAGGAAGTCCCACTCGTAGGCCACATTCTCGAAGTCCAGAGGCACGTCTTTGATGGCGCCGTCAGCCCCTTTTCTCTTAATCGAAATTTCGTCATTAAACAAAGACACGGACTGCGCCCCACAAGGAAAGAAGTTGGGATCGTTGGGATCGCTGGGATCGCTGGGATCGGGATCGGTGGGATCGGTGGGATCGGCATGTGTGGGGTCGGGATCGGCCGATCCCCGCGGGCGCTCCAGCGCCGGCAGTGTCTGTACACCTGAAATCGTGCGCAGCGCCACCGCCTCCTCCAGCGAGCGAATGACTGCACAGCCGCAGCCACAACAGATTTCATTGTTTTGTTATTTATTTATTTATTTATTTATTTATTTATTTATTTATTTATTTATTTATTTATTTATTTGTTTATTTGTTTGTTTGTTTGGTTGTTTGTTTGGCGGCTGGGTCACTCAGGGGGCTCGGAAGGTGAGAGAAATAAAAGATTTAAATAAATAAAAAGATTAAACTAAAAAGATTAAAAAAAGATTCTTTTAAATTATTTAATCTTTTATTAATCTTTTTAGTTTAATCTTTTTATTTATTTAAATCTTTTATCTCTTTAAATCTTTTCAATATTTGAATCTTTTAAATTATTTATTCAAATATTGAAAAGATCTAAAGAGATAAAAGAAACAAAAAGAGCCAACGAGAAGCAGCACAAGCAAAGACAAAGGCGCACGCAGCAGCAGCAGCAGCAGTTGCTGCTCCTGCTGCTGCTGCAGCTCCTGCTGCTGCTTTACTGCTGCTGCTGCTGCTGCTGCTGCTGCTGCTGCTGTTCCCGAGGCGGCCTGCGGACTGCGCGGCGGGCCGTGCGAAGGTCCGTCGCCGCGGGCGCGCCCGCGGGTTCACATCTTAGGGTTCAGGGTTTAGGGTTTAGGGTTTAGGGTTTAGGGTTTAGGGTTTAGGGTTTCGCACCGTCGCACTTGTAGCTGGAGCTGACTTGTGGGGGCCCGTCTTTGACGTATTGTCTGTAGTTTGCGAAGAAGTCCTGGATTCTGTAATAAACAAAAAGCGGCGGCAGCAGCTGCTGCTGCACTTGGAAAGGAATTGCTTCTCCTTCGGGTTTGCTGCTGCTGTACTGCAGCAGCACTTCGGAGGCCTGCGAGGCGCACAGCAGCAGCGCGAGCCCCAGCCCCAGCAGCAGCAAACCCCACACCCCACAGATTGCTGCAGTGGCCTGCAGTCTGTACACCTGAAACGGCAGCAAACTCCGCCCCAGCTGCTGCTGCACAAAGTCCCCCACAAACTGCTGCAGGTCTTCCCGGTGCTGCTGCTTCACTGGGATCGATCGATCCCCGCCAGCCTCCGCCTCCGGCTCCAGCCCGTGCTGCTGCTGCTGCTGCAGCAGCAGCTGCTGCTCCGGCCCGCGAGCCCCCGCCCCGCAGCAGCGCGAACCGCCCAAACCCTCTGCTGCTGCTGCTGCTGCTGCTGCTGCTGCTGCTGCTGCGCATCCGTCCTGGGCAGGCGCAGCGGCGTCCATAGTCCAGCACGACGACGCGCTGCGCACGCAAGATGACGCGGGCGTCCTGCTGCTGCTGCTGCTGCTGCTGCTGCAGCTGCTGCTGCTGCTGCTGCTGCTGCTGCTGCTGCTCCACCCGCGGCGCCTTCGCCGTACAGGCGCTTCAAAAGTGGGGGATGCTGGGACACCAGCAAGAGAAGCAGCCGCTGCTGCTGCTGCTGCGGGCACTGCTGCTGCTGCTGCGGGCGCTGCTGCTGCTGCTGCTGCGGGCACTGCTGCTGCTGCTGCGGGCGCTGCTGCTGCTGCCGCTAGCGCTGCTGCTGCTGCTGCTGCTGCGTCTGCTGCCGCAGCTCTTTCAGGCGGCGCGCCTGCAGCAGAATAAGCCAAATTGCCCCCCTCAAATTGGGAAGCACTAAATGCAGCAGGTGCTGCTACGCTGCTGGTGCTGCTGCGTCTGCTGCTGTCGCTGCTGCTGCTGCTGCTGCTGCTGCTGCTGCTGCAGTCGATGTTGCCTCGCCTGGCCAGGATCTCGGCAGCTGTCTTCCACAGCTGCACGTTCCGCATATGAACTGGAGAATGCCATGGCCTGCTGCTGCTGCTGCTGCTGCTGCTGCTGCCAGTGCTGCTGCTGCTGCTTTGCGCAGCAGGCACCTCTGCTGCTGCTGCAGCTGCTTTCGACGCTGCTGCTGCTGCAAACGCCATGCTTGCTGAGGACAGAGGTGCTGCTGCCCCGATGACATTTCTGGCCTACAGCTGCTGCAGCAGCAGCACGTGCTGCTGCTGCTGCTGCTCCCACCGTCGCTGCTCCCGCGGCTCCCGGCGCTGTTGCTGCTGCTGCTCCCTGCTGCTGCTGCTGCTGCTGCTGCTGCTGCTGCACGTGGCTGGGATCTGCAGCAAAGCAGCTAACTCCTCTGAGACACTGCTGCAGCACTGCAGCAAAACTCAAAAACCCCAGCAGCAACTGGGAAACCCCCAGGCGCACCGCAGCAGGGAGGCCCCTATGGTGCCGGCGCTAGGCCCTCGGCCCCGAGAACAAAACCCTAAACCCTAAACCCTAAACCCTCGTCTAAAATCAAAAAAACATTAGGACACAGAGGCTGCGGGCTGCATGCGCCAGTTCAGAGGAGCCGACAGTGCCTCCCGGCTTCCCCTGGAGGCCCTAGGCAAGCCCTAAACCCTAAACCCTAAACCCTAAACCCTAAACCCTACACCCTAAACCCTGGACTGTAAAGACTAAAGTTAAAACTCTAAATTGCTGCTTTTGACATATTTGAGTGAGCCAGGTCGCACGCGACACGACCCTGAACCCGAAACCCTAAACCCTAGACCCTAAACCCTAAACCCCAAACCCTAAACCCTAAACCCTAAACCCTCGCACGACCCCCAGGAGACCACACACAGCACTTTAAGCTTAAAGTTGCTGCAGCTGCCCCAAGCTGGGGCCCCCAGCAAAGACAGCCTCAAGCCTCCGGCCTGCTGCTAGGGCCAAGACTGCCCAGCTAGCTAGCTAGCTAGCTAGCTAGCCACCCAGCCAGCCAGCTAGCTAGCTAGCTACCTAGCCAGGAGCTTGGGGCACCGCTCCAGCTAGCTAGCTGGTTGGTGTGTAGCCCTCAAGGCTTTCGAGTTGCTGCAACAGCGCAGCAGCGCAGCAGCCGCAGCAGCGCAGCAGCTGCAGCAGCTGCAGCAGCGCAGCAGCTGCAGCAGCTGCAGCAGCGCAGCAGCGCAGCAGCCGCAGCAGCGCAGCAGCTGCAGCAGCTGCAGCAGCGCAGCAGCTGCAGCAGCTGCAGCAGCGCAGCAGCTGCAGCAGCTGCAGCAGCGCAGCAGCTGCAGCAGCGCAGCAGCTGCTGCAATTCAAAAGTCTTTTGTGCTGCTGCGGCAATGGCCGCAGGGCTCAGAGGCGCCTACAGCCGCTGTTCAAACCCTAAGCGCTAAACCCTAAACCCTAAACCCTAAACCCTAAGTGGCTCCAACGCCTCTAATGGCATTTTGGGGTCACTTTTTGAAATTAAATCTGCAAAGTTTTAATTTTAAAAATGACATTAAAACTTTTTTAAAGTTTTCAAATCAAACGAAAGTTTGTTTTGCTGCTTGAGTCAAAAGGCCCGCAGCCCTTCTCGAATTTGTTTTAAAAGCTTCTTTAAATTTGCTTCCATTCAGCTGCTGCTGCTGCTGCTGCTGCTGCTGCTGCTGCTGCTGCTGCTGCTGCTGCTGCTGCTGCTGCTGCTGCTGGGAAGGCTTTTGCTGCAGCAAGTTTGCTGCAGAAGCAGCAAACTTGCTGCAGCATGAACTTCAACATTGCTCATCACAGCCTCTTCAAAAATAAAGTTTTCATCAAAATGTATATTTCAAATTAAAATGTTTATTTATAATCAAGAAGTTTTTTTATAATTAAAATGTTTATTTATAATTAAAAAGTTTCTTTATAGTTAAAATGTTTATTTATAATTAAAATGTTTATTAAGAATTAACATGTTTATTTACAATTAAAAAGTTTATTTATAGTTAAAATGTTTATTTATAATTAAAATGTTTATTTCATGTTAAAGTGTTTATTAGTAATCAAAAAGTTTATTTCTGAAAACTTGCAAAATGAGAAAAAAGAATTTAAATTGAATTAAATTTTTTTGAATTCTTTTTTGATTTTTTTGGATTGGATTTGGATTTTGTGGAATAAAATTTACTTTTTAAAAATATTTTATTTCCAAATTAGTTTGCCAAATAATAAATAATTAATTATTTAAATCTGAGCTTCAAAATAAATTAATTTTAATTTTCAAAGTTTTCCACTTTAATTATTTAAAGACAGAGAACAGTGGTAAAGAAAGCCTCTGACTTTTATTATTTTATTATTTTTATTCATCTTATTATTTCACTACTTTTTTATTGTTTTATTACTGTATTATTTTTGACATTTTATTATCTCATTATTTTATTATTTATTTATTTCATTATTTGTTTATTTTATTATTTATTTATTCTTTTATTCTTTTATTCTTTTATAAAATTTAAATAAAATAAGGCTTTTGCATTAATACCAACTAAAGGACTCAGTCGCATGCGAGGATTATTATTATCAGAAAACTATTTTAATTAAGTAGCAGCAAAACAATTCAAAACTTTTCTTGAAGACTCCAGAGCTTGATAATATCTGCTGCTGCTGCTGCTGTTGCTGCTACTGCTGCAGTTGCTGCTGGTGCTGCAGTTGCTGCAGCAACTTCGGCAGGTGGAGCAGCAAAGTGAGAAGAAATTAAAAAATAAATTATTTACTTTTTTAAATTTAAGATTCAATAAAAATTCATTAAAACTTATTCCTGGAAATTTAAAACAGATGGGTATAATTTGGTAAAGAATATTTAAAAGAGAAACAAATTGAAAAAAAAAATTAAATTAAAATGCCTTTTTGGCGAAGTTGGAAGATTGAGATTAATTGCCGGAGGTGGAGCAGCTGAGTGCTTAGCTAGCTGTGCAGCTAGCTAGCTAGCTAGCTACGTAGCTAGCTAGCTAGCCAGCTATCCTACCAGCTAGCTGCCTGCCAGCTAGCTAGCTAGCTAGCTAGCTAGTCAGCGGCCATTTGTTCAGGCAGCGCTACTCAGCTGCCATCAAAGCTGGCCCACTGGCTAGCTAGCTGTCTTGCTAGCTAGCGAGGCAGCTAGCTAGCTGTCTTGCTAGCTAAAGAGGCACCTAGCTAGCTGGCTAGCTAGCGAGGCAGCTAGCTAGCTATTTGAACTTAGCAGCTGCACAATTTAATTTATCAAACCCGTTTAAAGAGCACATAGGCCTTCTCAAGAGCTCCACGGGCTGCTGCTGCTGCTGCTGCTGCTGCTGCGACGTTTGGTGTGTTTTTTCCCTGTTGCTGTTGCTGCCTTTGCCGCCACTGCTGCTGCCTTCTCCGCAGCTGGCTGCGGTGTACGTACACCTCGGCCAGCCGCTCCCCAGATGCTGCTGCAGCAAAGGGGGCTTTACTAAAGCTGCTGCAGCTGGCTAGCCCTCAGCTTTGCTGCTGCAGCAAAGGGCGCTTTACTAAAGCTGCTGCAGCTGGCTAGCCCTCAGCTTAGGAAGGCTTTTTGCTGCTGCAGCAAAGGGGGCTTTACTAAAGCTGCTGCAGCTGGCTAGCTCTCAGCTAAGAAGGCCTGTTGCTGCTGTCTTCAGGGGATTTCTTAATGCCAGCAAGTCTATTATGGAAGCCACAATGCATGCGGGGCCCCACACCGGGGCCAGCAGCCATTTGTGGCAGCTGGAAAGTGTCTTTAATTTGCAGGTTTCTGTGGTGTACATACACTGCAACTAGCCCGGAAGAAACGACTGGGCAAAAGCCCAAGAGCATTTATATGTATTTATATATATATATATATCTACATATATATATTTATATATTTAAATTTAACACATATATATTTAATACACAAATAAATACTATATATATTATATATTTGAACATGTTTATGAGAATCTGTAATAAACATAAACGCGCGTTTTGGAGTGTACGCGTGTCCCGGTGTATGTACAGCTGGCGAAGCACTTTTTCTTTTGCAACAAATTGCACAAGAGCCTCAAAGGCGTACAGGACTCTGCACTTATTCAAATATAAATAGATTTATTTAAATATATAACTATATTTAAAATGCAGACACATTAAATCCCGAAAATAAAAATATTCTGTGTTTCCCGATTTTACTTGGACAGACATGCGCGAGCACCAGGTGTATGTACAGCTGCCGCTGCGCAAGTGCATTCAAAGCAACAGAATTGAATAAATGAGAATTAATATTTTGCAAATGTGCACAAAATATAAATAAGTTCATTTAAAAGTGCCCATAACTTCCCAAAGTTCTCCGAAAATAACTCAAATGAATATTTGCAAGTGGCGAAGGCGCCGCAAGCCTTCCACTTGAGCTGTACAGACACCTCGTGTCCGGTGTATGCATGCATGCAAGATCAATTGCGACAAAAAACAAATAAAATTATCACTTTTGTCTTTTCTGTCTGTGGAAATACAAAAAGCGCATGCAAAAATGCACACTTATCCCACAAACAGAAGACAGCTAGCGGGGCTGCCACAGACGCTTCTGTACATCTGCTGCTGCTGCTGCTGCTGCTGCTGCTGCTGCTGCTGCTGCTTTATCCAAACTTTGCTGTTGCTCCGACAGCTCTTGCTGTCGGGCGCCGACAGAGAGGCAGCAGCTCATTCGGGAGCTGCTGTTGCTGCTGTTGCTGTTGCTGTTGCTGCTGTTGCTGCTGCTGCTGCTGCTTCTAAGGAGCTGCGCGCCAGGTTTGAAGGAGAAACAAGAGGAGCAACAGCAGCAAGAGGACTGGCTGCTGCTGCCGCAGCTGTTGCTGCTGCTGCACCGCCTAGTTCGCTGCAGCTTTCTGCGACTCGAGCAGCAGCGCCACCTTCAACAGTAGCTGCAGTTTCTGCTGCTGCTGCTGCTGCTGCTGCTGAGTCAGGAGTCCCGATTGGGCTAGTTCTGCAGCGTGCCGGCAGAGCACCAGCAGCAGCAGCAGCAGCAGCAGCAGCAGCAGCGCTTGCTCCGCACGCAGGCACTGCTGTTGGCTGGCTTGCGTGAGTTGCTTGTTGCTTCTCTTTAAAGGGGCCCCCCAGAAGCTGCTGCTGCTGCTGCTGCTGCTGCTGCTGCTGCTGCATGTGGAACTGACGCAGGAGGCGATGCTGCTCCTGCAGCAGCAACTGCTGCTGCAGCAGCTCCTGCTGCGCACACCAGGACCGCAGCTGGCCCTGCAGCAGCACAGCCCGCTGTACATCCGTTTGCTGCAGCAGCGCCGCAAGAGCCTCTGCAACATGAGGACCCACAGGACAGCCTGCATCCAGCAATGTGCTGCTGCTGCTGCTGCTGCTGCTGCTGCTGCTGCTGCTGCCGGCTGCCGGCGCGTTGTCGCTTGCCTGAACTGAGAAAGGCGCAGCAACAGGAGCAGCTGCTGCTGGAGTTGCTGCTGCTGCAGGAGCTGCTGCAGGGTCAACTGCATCACCAAGGGCTGTTGCTGCACGCGCAGCAGCAGCAGCAGCAACTGCTGCTGCTGCAGCAGTTGGAGGCAGCAGTGTTCCCCCTCCTGGAGCTGCACCCGCAGCATCTGCAATAGAGCGATGCTGCTGCTGCAGCAGCAGCAGCTGCTGCTGCTGGTCCAGCCCTGGAAGAGATAGCATGCCGCCGCTCCCCGCCGCGATTGCAGCTGCTGCTGCTGCCTGCTGGAGCGACAGCTGCTGCTGCAGCAGCTGCTGCTGCTCCAGTTGCTGTGGCCTATTGTCTGGTGCTGTGTCCGTCACAGCTGGCCGAGCAGCAGCAGCAGCAGCAGCAGCAGCAGCAGCAGCCTGGGGTTGATACTGCTGCATCCACGCCCTCTGTGTGTGCTGCGCGTTGGCTTTCCTGCTGCTGTTGCCGCCGCCGCTCCCGGGGGTGCTGCAGCCCCTGCTGCTGCTGCTGCTGCTGCTGCTGCTGCTGCTGCTGCGGGCGTACAGCGCCTCCAGCTGCTTCCTCGCCTGTATGGCTAGCTGCAGCGCAGCAGCAGAACCATGCTTAGCAACAGAGAAACTCCTTTTTAGGGTTTTGCCTCCAATGCCAATTGTTGCTGCCCACGCGTTGTTGCGGATGTCGTGGTAGACTCCCCGCACGTCGCATGCGCCTGCTGCTGCTGCTGCTGCTGCTGCTGCTGCTGCTGCTGCTGCTGTTGCTGGGCTGGGCGTGGGCGCTACGGGCAGGCAAGAGGCCAGGTCGGGGGAGCTCGAGACCAAAGAGGGCGGGCTACACGCTGCTGCTGCTGCTGCTGCTGCTGCTGCTGCTAGCTGCTGCTGTCTCATGCGCCGCCGCTTCGTTTGGCCGCCGGGAGGGAAATCCGGCGCTGCTGCTGCTGCTGCTGCTGCTGCTTGAGAGCAGCTGCGCGCTGCGGCCTCGGTGTTTTGCTGCTGGCCGTTTGTTGCTGCTGCTGCTGCTGCGGGGTCGTCCGTGCACCAGGGAGGCGGGCTGCTGCTGTCGCTGCTGCTGTCCCTTGCTGCATTGCCCGGCAGCAGCAAGTGCTGCTTTCGGTGGTGCTGCTGCTGCAGCTGCAGCTGCGGCTGCGTGGGCGCCCGGTCAGCTGCAGGTGGAGCCGCGTCCCCCGCGGGTTTCTGCTGCTGCTGCTGCTGCTGCTGCTGCTGCTGCTGCTGCAGCAGCAGCGGCTGCTGCTCCGTCGCCGCGGCTGCCGCTGCGCCCGCGCAGCCAGCAGCTGGCGCCGCCGCGGCGTGCCGTTCGTGGACGAGCTGCTTCGCGTCCCCGCCGCCTCGCTGCTGCTGCTGCTGCTGCTGCTGCTGCTGCTGCTGCTGCAGCAGCAGCGGAGTTGCCG